ACAATCCTAAGGTGCTCAACATGCTCCTCCCTAGTCTTACAATATACAAGGATGTCATATATGAAGACTACTATAAACCTATCAAGATATTGGTGAAATATCCTATTCATATAATCCATGAATACTCCAGGCGCATTAGTCACACCAAAAGACATAACTAAATATTCATAGTGCCCATAACGAGTCCTAAAAGCAGTCTTTGGGATATCCTCAGATTTCACCCGAATTTGATGGTAACCTGATCTCAAATCTATCTTACTGAACACACAAGCCCCAACTAGTTGGTCCATAAGGTCATATATTCTAGGAAAGGGATACTTATTCTTAATGGTCACTTTATTCAATTGCCTATAGTCTACGCACAACCTCATGCTCCCATCTTTCTTCTTAACCAATAAAATAGGCGCTCCCCAAGGTGAGACACTAGGCCTAATGAATTGTTTCTCCTGAAGCTCTTCTATTTGTTTCTTGAGTTCAGCTAACTCCTTAGGGGACATTCTATAAGGTGCTATAGATATGGATGCAGTGCCAGGTACTAAGTCTATGGAAAACTCAATCTCTCTCTCAAGTGGTAAGCTAGACATGTCCTTAGGGAAAACTTCAGGAAACTCACTCACTAAGGGAATCTCACTAAGCTCATCGCATTTCTCAAGCGTCAAACAGGCAAGAATCATGTAAACCTTTTCATTTTCCTTTAAACAATTTTTCATTTTATTAGCACTTAAAAACTCCCCACACTTACTCTCACCAAAGGATATGGATTTTTCAAAGCAATTTATTAGTAGGACGTGATTGGAAGATAACCAGTCCATTCCAAGAATGATATCTATTTGACTAAGAGGCAAACAAATAAGGTCAACCAGAAACTGCCTTTCAGAAATAACAATTGGACATTTAAGACAAATACTAGAGGTAGTTATGGGACCATCTGTTGGGGTTTCTACAACTAGATCATATCTCAAATAAGACACTGGAAATTTCAATTTTTGGACACAGGCAAGAGAAATGAAAGAATGAGTTGCACCAGAATCGAACAGTACAACAAAAAGATTCTCAGCTATGAAACAAATACCTTGTATTAGATTATTTGACTGAGCAGCTTCGACACCACTAAGAGCAAATACTCTTCCAGTAGTCTTCGGATGCTTAGGTTAAGAACTAGCTCCTGTTCCCATCATGCGTTGCCTTGGCGGTTGTGGACACTGAGTACTAATATGACCCTTACCACTGTAGTTGAAGCATGTTATCTCCTTGTCAAGAAAGTTATAGTGCTCATGCCCATGTTGCCCACATTTCTTGCATCAACTAATAGGTGTAGAAACAAAGCCTCCTACACTAGCAGCACCACTCACGAAAGAGTTTCTAGCAACAGATCTACTTCTAGCATGATTTCCTTGAAACTTGGCAAGAGCATAGTAAGGTTTACTCCTACCCGAAGCACCAGAATTCGAAGCACGCATAGGACCTCCAACTCCCTTGTAGAAAGCAGCATGTGCACGGTTGTCACGGTCATAGATTCTACTCTTGTTGACAAGCGTTGGGTAGTGATAAATCTCTTGATAATTGACTACTGTCTTTACCTCAAGACGAAGGCCATTCACGAACTTAATGCACTTAGCTCTTTCACCACCCTCACCATGGTAGTGAGTACAATAGCGAACCAAAGCATCAAATTTTGCAGCATACACTACCACTATATCATTTCCTTGCTTCAGCTCGAGGAATTCCACTTCCTTCTAACTCCTCACATCATCCGGGAAATACTTCTCAAGGAAGACCCTCTTGAAGTTGTCCCAATTCAAGCGCACTTCTCCATCAATCATCCTCTGAAGTGCTCCTTCCACCCAAAAATGGGCATCAACAGTCAGCATGAAGGTAGCCAACCTCACCTTCTGAGCGAGAGGACACTCTATGGCATTAAAAATCTTCTCAATCTCCATTAGCCAATTCATCGCAGCATCTGGGTCATATCCTCCTTTGAAAGTAGGTGGATGATTTCGCTGAAATTGCTCCAACCAGTTAGGAGCGACTTCAACCCTATTGTTGTTACTCATAGCTTGTGCTAACGCTTGAAGGGCATCAACAATCGTACGATCATTTATACCAACCATAATCTAAGAAAATAGTACACACAATTAAATAAACAACAGACATAATCAATCATCACACTAGCATAAGTTTCACAATCAATTCATTCCATCATTCATCTACCAAACAAGCATAATAGACTCATAACTCACGGCCGATTGGATCGACCTGCTCTGATACCACTAAATGTGACACCCTCTACCCCGCATACCATAACACATAATAATAAAATTTGAATAACATAACATTTCATAATTAAAATATCAAACGTGTTCAGATAGAGAGTACCACATCCATAACTTTAAAAAATCAGCAAAAATTACAAAGAAATAAAACTAAAATTTCCAAAATATATTAATAAGTGAAACATCCTAATCTAATCCTATCTATGCCCCGATGTCACATGTCCTATCAGAGCAAAGCCCAACTCTAAAGCCTAAGCTTCATCACCTACATCCTCAGCCTCATGTCGATAATACCTGTATAACGGTCAAAGGAAAACAACAAAAAGAAAAAGGAGTAAGAAACATCTCACTCTGGCTCACAGTGTAGAAATACACACCGGATAGCCAAACCCAAACAAGACAGGTGTAACATAGATATATTAACAACAATATTACATCTCACTCATCCAAGACATAAAAATATCAATTTATCATGTAACATTAAAATGCACATTTATGGACACGGACTACATATTATCATGCATGAGGCGCCAGTAAAACATCACATGGCATATTGCCGCTAGCAATACACAAAGAGTAGTCTAGGAGTACATGCCGAGTCACACCTTCTACGCACTCTCACTAGAAGGACATATTACTAGGGTCTCGTCGGGATAGCTAAGCCGCGCAAGATACATCCCATGCATACAATGGGCGAGACTGGGACTTACAAACCAAGTTATCCCCAAGGACCAATCCCCAAAGCTTTTACACTAGGGGGCCTTCCTTAGCGGTGTATTCCATATCGTACCCTTAAAAACATTTATGCAAATAATGCATGTCAATCAAGACTCTATGCATTCTCATATTACATTATCATGTCTCATTATCATATCACATCATCATGTCTCATTAACACTTTTCACATTATCTCATCATGTTCACATAGTCTCTGCAGAGCACTCAAAATCATATAAAAACTTGTTTATTTGTGAAATTAAACACATATTCATACATCTCATTCAATAAGGAATACATCAGAACAATTAGAAAGCAAAACAGAAAACATTCATATTTTGTCTGTTTCCCATAGGGTTCCCACAGAAACCCATAGAGCACTCTAATTCATACAATAAACATTTAAAAAAGTACAATTAACTCATACAATTACCTCTTCAAACCATCTCCTCTTACAATCACCAATGCATTCCCTTAGGGTTTCCCATAGGAACCCATAGAGATCTCAGATCATACAATTAATTACATATAAGGAAAAACAATAGGCGAAACAGATACAATTGGGGAAAATCCCTCATACATGAGCATACCACAAATACAAAAAACATAGGGTTGGGGGCCAATCACATTACCCAACATGTATTCCCACACCCAAAGCGAGGTTTCTCACTCCCCCCTTACCTCGATAAGCAGGAGCTGAAACTGAAGCAGGATCTTCCTGGTCTCCTCCTCTGGGTTCCCCTTGGTCTTCAAAGAATGTAGAAAAAAAGAAGTCAGAAATGAAAAATGTGTTTTTGGGAGTGCCAGAGCGTTCTATTTATAAACGTCAAGTGTGGCCAAAATGGCCCGTTTCAAATCCGGAACGGCCTGTTTTGGACCCATTCATCATGTGTAAAAGTCACATCCGAAATGGCCCATTCCTAAACCAGAACAGCCCGTTCTGGGGTTGAGTTTAACCCATAACGTCCATGTTTGGAACGACCCGTTCTTAAACCAGAACGGTCTATTTCCAACTAGGGTTATAGGCTATTTTTGTAGTTTGGAACGGTCGTTCCAGTTTTGGAACGACCTGTTCTTGGCTACTAAAATTCAAAATATTAAAAAATAATTTTCGTAAATATTTATTATTAAAAATCTCTAAAATATTCTATAAAACCCATTTAATTAATTAAAATAATTATAAGAAAATTATCTTCATAAATATAACAATAAATAATAATTAACCATTGTATTAGTAGAAAATTTGGGATGTTACAAGTCGTTACACATTTATGGTATCAAAGTCGGTCAAATCTTTTGGATACTTTGTGGGGAGTGACCCTTCTAGGTTTCTGTTGTGTCATATCTTTGATATGTGTTAGTTTTGGTTATATATGGTGGTATAGTGTTACTAAAAGAATGTTTTGGAGTGTCAAAAAAAGTACATCACTTTTTAAGATAAAGACAAGAGCTACGCAACCAAAAAAGGATAAAAAGTTTCTAGGTCTCAGCTAAAGTTAGACACTGTTGCCAACAAACATAGGAGACTTCACGCAGTGTCTATAAACAAGAAGCGATATTTAATGCAAAATATTGTGCATTAAATGAAAGATCGAACTAGTCATAAACGACTACATTCTACTTCAATGGACACTTGCAATGGGCAAATTTTACAAGACTATATATATGACACAACTTCAAACCTAGAAAGGTTGGCGTTGACAAAGAATGGTATCAAGCCCATGAAGTAATGAAACCAGAGACAGAGCTTATAGAGTCAAATGTACCATAGTGTATTTATCTCTGTAGACTAAGGAGTTCTAAGTGTAACTTAGGAACATGCACCTTAGTGAGTGTAGCAATTGTATCCTCTTTGTGAGAGTAAACCAAACACTCAAACCGAATCATCTATCTATCATCTGTTGAAGAGGCTAGGGAAAGAATACTTGTAAAATCCTGGAGAGGCTTGTCAAAGAATCCTCACTACAAGCCTAAAGAGGCTGAATAAAGAATACTAGCGCTAATGAGTGAAGTTAGCAGGCCAGGACTGGTCGACAATCCTCATTGAGAGCCTAAAGAGGCTGAACAAAGAATACTAGTACTAAAAGCCAACCAGGAGTGGTTGAGAATACTTGGGACCAGGAGTGGTTGAGAATACCCACTAAGAGCTTGAAGAGACTGAACAAAGAATACTAGAGCTAATGAGTGAAGTTAGCCAATCAGGAGTGATTGAGAATACTCGAGACCAAGAGTGGTCGAGAATACTCACTAAGAGCCTAAAGAAGCTGAACAAAGAATACTAGAGCTAATGAGTGAAGTTAGCCAACTAGGAGTGGTTGAGAATACTCAAGACCAGGAGTGGTCGAGAATACTCACTACGAGTCTGAAGAGACTGATCAAAGAATACTAGCACTGATGAATGAAGTTGGCAGACTAGAAGTGGTCGATAATACTTGGCAAACCAGAAGTGGTAATAATACTTGTACTTCATTGAAAATCTAGTGGAACCCTTCAATTGAAGGAGACTGGACGTAGCTCAGTTTGAGCGAACCAGTATAAAAATCTTTGCACTACTTTTTTATGTTTTAGAGGCAGTTTCATTTAGTTGATTTATCATACTGAAAACTTCGTCCAATGCTTATTGTTCATTACAACTATCTTTAGACGAAAACCACACTTGTTTAATTTATTATCTTAAAGAGTAGTTTTCGTTTAAGAAGTATTTTCCCTGTGCAAACGATAAACTCTCATACGCACTTTCATTTAGTTGATATATCATATTGAGGATTTCATCCATTGCACATTTGGTACTAAAACTATTTTTGGACGAAAAATAAACTTATTTAATATCTTAAGAAACAGTTTCATTTTAAGAAGTATTTTTCTTATGTAGACGTTACATCTTCAGACGCAAAATCTTTTGTTAAACTAACTCTGCACAGTTTTTCTAAGCAATCAAAATATTTTTTCCTGGACGAAAAAAAGCTTCTCTGCGAAAACGTTTTTAAAATTCCTTTGTTCACACACACATATTCAACCCCCCTTTTATGTGTTTTCATCTAACTTCAGGTTACAAATGATGGAGGTGAGTAGAAGTAGTGAAACACAAACTCCTCCTAAACTCCTCCTAGGCTCGGATCTTCTTCAATGGAGATAGAAACACACTTGAAGAACTCGTGAGGATGAAGAACACTTGCTGAAATGGAAGAAGGAAGCATCCAAGCTCAAGAACTCAAGGGATTGCACACTTCAAAGTGAAGGAAACTAGGTTTTCCTAAGGTTTTTGAAGGCATTCTCTTAGGTTTTCTCTCTTGGATATTTCGGTGACTCTTTAGGGAATTAGCTGAAGGTAATGTTCAGAAATTCTCATATATTCAAAAGTGTGTTACAAGGTGAGAAAAGTTACATTTATAGGAAAAATTAGGGTAACTTGGCGGCACCTTTAGTGAACCAAAGTGGCGCCAAGTTTGAATTTCAAATTTGAATTTGAAATTCAAACTTTGGCCACCTCACATGATCACACGGATGCTACCCTCATCTAAGTGTCATTTAAGAGTGATTTGGATTGAATTTGAAGCTCACATGGCCGGATCCACCCCATGCCATCCATGTGACTCAAATTCAATTCAAATTACTTCTAAATGATGCTTAAATGTAGCCTATTTCTCCTATTAATGTATTCTTCATATAATCCTAATCTAATGACCGAAATACATTGGTCTAATGAATACAATGAATAGGAAAAATTACAAGAAGAAGAATGAACCCAATATTGGGTACCAAAAGCCCAAAGGCCCATGAAGCCCAAAACTAAGCCCAATAAGCCTATGGCCCAAAAATGTTACTCTATGTGGTCCAAAATACAAGACCAAAATATATGATACCTATACTAACATGATGTATACAAAACATATGAAAATAGCTATAACAAAATATGGCCCATGAAAAGTTCAACTTGGGCCTTCCCAGGCCCATCAGGCCCATTGGGCCCTGACTGGCCCAAACCTTCATGTCTAGCCAACTCCTCTTGGATCTTTGAGTGTGTCACCTCTTGCATTCCCAAGTATGATTCCATCAACAAACCATTTAGCACCTAAGATATTAGGAACATTAGAGGGGCCCTACACATCTGTATGAATAAG